GAGAGAGAGAGAGAGAGAGAGAGAGAGAGAGAGAGAGAGAGAGAGAGAGAGAGAGAGAGAGAGAATGGACAGTGGGAAGGTCGCAATTGGTAGATCAAGAATCTGGAGGGGTGGTATCTACACGGCGATGGGAGAGACACACACACAAACACAGAGAGAGAGAGAGAGAGAGAGAGAGAGAGAGAGAGAGAGAGAGAGAGAGAGAGAGAGAGAGAGAGAGAGAGAGAGAGAGAGAATCTTTTTTCTTTTCGTTTCACTCTTAGGGGCAAAAGGCGAGGACTCGCCGAGGAGGGAGGAGCAATCCTATGCTACCCCTTCGTGCCCACTTTTTTCTTCCTTTTTGGCCAAGGCACGATGCACTCATGATGATGGTTGCAGCTGCTCTCAAGATCTGTGCTCTCTCTCTCTCTCTCATGCAACACCCACACTCCGTGCAGTTTGTTTTTTCTTGGGAGGGGGCATATAGCACCAACCAATGTGCACATAGTATCTCAGGCCACAGAGTACCAGCCATGCTGCTGCCCAACCCGCTTGCTATTGCCAAAGCCCTGCACACACACACACACACACACACACACACACACACACACACACACACACACACAGATACGCACACAGATCACAAGCGACGACAACAGCAGATGCTTCTTCACTGTGTGATATGATGTCTCTCTCGCCTTTGGATCTTTGTCGTACGAAACAGCCGGGCACGTCTCCATTGTCTGATATAATGTTTTCTTCTGCTTCCCAGAACAGACGGAGCGACCCGCACAGAACAGCAATTGTATGATTTCCTAAACTGGTCTCGGGTGCTTTGTTGTGGTGTCTCATCGTATCTTTATGCTGCTTCAGCGTGCCTTTTGCCTCCCCTTTGGGTTCGGCTTCGGCCTCTTCCTCTCCCTCCTCCTGCTCAACCACACCTCCCCCCTTTTCTCCACCTCCCTCTTCTTCCCTCCCGTCCCTCGTGCGCCGCGGCGCCGCCGCGCCGGGTCCGCTTGTTATAGTTATTTGGGAATCGTTCTGCAAACTGGTGAACGCAAAACGTGCGTGACCACCTCCCGATCCCTTCACTAAGAAAAGCGTTCGCCGGCTCTCTCTCTCTCTCTCTCTCTCTCTCTCTCTCTCTCTCTCTCTCTCTCTCTCTCTCTCTCTCTCTCTCTCTCTCTCTC